TGGTTGTATCCCAAGAACATTTCCTAGAAAATGGACCCTTTCCTCTGTTTCTTCTCTCTTTCCTTTCTTTATCAGAGAAATAAAGGCTCTAGTTTTAAAACCCAATAGAACCCAAAAGCTTTTAAGGGTAACCAGTACCTCCAGCCCTGTGTCCAATCCCCATGACAAGTCCTGCTCTACCGAAGTAAAACCCTTCATCTCTCTCGGCTATTTTGCTATTGTTGGTCATACATATCCCTAAAGGTTATGCTTAAACTGCCACTTCTAGATTTTTCAGTTTTATTCATTATTATTTATTTTATGGCAATTGAGGGTTTCTCTTATACTGTGTCCCTCTTGATTTGGCAAAATCAAAAGTCAGTTTTGATTATTATAATTAAACTAACATTCACGTGTATTAAAATTACATTTCTTTGTGTAACTTTCTGCTCTTCATTAAGTTCGTCATCTCCCCCCTCCTTTCCCACTCCTTGTTTTTCTGTGCCCAGCTGTTCCAGACCACCCTCCGCCTGGAGGGATGCCAGCTAACGCACCAGTGGGGTTTTCTCCTGGGGGCTCAGTGCTCCTGAGTCTGCTGCATGTCCTCGTCGGGGGGACCTCTTTACTGCTCCCCTCTGTGGCTTCCTGTGTTCAGGCTCTGGAGCTTTCTTCTTTCTCAGCTGACACGTGTTTAAGTGGAAGATGTATTCCAAAGTTCGCAGAGAAAAAGTACAGGAGAAGTAAACACTTCCAGTACTGGCATGTCTAAAAATGTTTCCATTACTCCTTAAAGTGTGAGTAGAATTCTAGGTTGAAGCTTATTTCCCCTCTGAAATTGGAAGTTATTTTCCAGTATCTTCTGGTGTTAACAAATCTGGTACAACTCTGATTCCAGACTCTTCTATGGTTTGATCTTTAGGGGGTCTCACCACCTTCCCCACCCCTGGCATGGATGTTTTTCCATTCGTGTGCTGAGCACTCAGTGGATGCCCTCAACCTGGAAATTCTTGTCCTTCCATTCTGGAAATCATCCTGCATTAATTCTTTGGTCATTTCTTCCTTTCCATTTCCTCCTTTCTGACTTCTGGAACTCACATTATTAGGATATTGCAACTTATGTCTGATTCCTAAATTTCTTATATTTTATCTCCTGATTTCTTTTTGTTCTACCTTCTATGAGATTTTTTTTAAACTTAATGTTCCTTATGTCCTTTAATTTTAACTTCTGAAGGATCTTTCTGATTCTTCTTTATTCCTACTTTATTGCATTCACTATTTGTTTTATAGGTGCAAAATTTTCTCTTATACCCTCTGAGGACATTAATTACAGACTAATTTTTTCACGATGTCTCTGGTTTCTCTGTGTTTGTTTGTTTTGGTCTTCTCTTCCAAGTAGAGGTTTTATTCAAGCTCCTGTGACAACTTTGTTCTTCATTCATGGTTAACACAGACAGGTGGAAGCGCCTAGAAACTTGATGTGCAGGGGCAAGGTTCACAGCTGGTGTACCCCACTCTAAATGAGGGCTTTCAGCAGACATTTCCCTTAAGCACCGCTATAGATGAATGTTTGTGTCCCCCCAAATCATATGTTGAAATCTTAACTGTCAGTGTGATGACGTTAGGAGGTGGGGTCTTCATGGGTGACTAGGTCGTGAGGATGGAGCCCCTATGAAAGGGATTAGTGCCCTTATATAAGAGACCCCCAAGAGCTCCCTGCTCCTTTCTGCTATGTGAGGACACAACAAAAGCACAGTCATCTATGAACGGGAAAGTGGGCCCTCACCAGGCAAAATCAGGGGTCCCTTGATTTTGAACTTCCCAGCCTCCAGAACTGTGAAAAATAAACTTCTGTTGTTTATTAGCCACTCGATTTGTGGTAGGTAGTTAAAACAGCCCAAGTGGACTAACGTGCATACCCTTCAATGTCAGAATCTTTCCGTCTTTCCTCTGGGGCTTTCTCTCTCCTTTTTGGGGGGTGGTCTTTGCTGCCGACTTTCTAAGAAGAGGTTGCAAAAGGGCTGGGGACTCCGCCGGAAGACTTTCACACAGTCCAGTCTCTTTCTTCCCCTTTTCAGCCACTCTCTTTATCCCCATCCTCACTGCGCTTGTGACCCCCTGACTAGAGCCTACAGAATCCTTGAGAGGAAGCCTCTAGCTTCTTCCCGCTGGGGAAGCAGAGAACATGGCTGTGCTGGCTGCATCAAGGGGATTCAGGAAGTCTGACCTCTCCACAGAGAGATTTCCAGCCAGCGCCCTGTTTTCAGTCTAGAATTTGTCCCAAGTGCCTCCAAGCACCAAGAGCTGGCTCTGGGAGTCAGTCAGTTGGGGCCCTTCAGGCCCCCTTTGCTGGCTTTGAGGTTGTAGCTTCCTTCATTCTGCCAAGTCCTCTTCATCTAATTTCCACCTTCAACATTTGCTGTCATTTCTCACCTGCTGTGGTTTCCCATCCCTTCTCTTTGTCCTTGGGGGTTTGTTCCTTTCTTGTTCCTTTAATATCTTTTAAGGGGCTTAAGGAGTGAACAGACATGAATGAGTCAAAAGTGGTACTGTGAAACGTTTTGTGGAGGTAACATGTGGACAAGATAGTTGTTAAGACTATATTGTGACCAGCAACCCCATTACTGGGCATATACCCTGTGTGTGCTTGTGTGTGCTCAGTCGCTCAGTCACATCCGATTCTTGGCGATACCACGGACTGTAGCCCACCAGGCTCCTCCTGAGAAAACCACAATTCTAAAAGACACACGTAACCCAATGTTCATTGCAGCAATATTTTCGATAGCCAAGACATGGAAGCAACCTAGATGTCCATCAACAGATGAATGGATAAAGAAGTTGTACTACCTACATACTGTGGAATATTACTCAGCCATAAAAAGGGACACATTTGAGTCAGTTCTAGTGAGGTGGATGAACCTAGAGCTTCTAATACAGAGTGAAGAAGTCAGAAAGAGAAAAGCAAATGTCGTATATTAATGTATATATATGGAATCCAGAAAAAATTGTACTGATAAACCTATTTTGGGGGCAGGAATAGAGACACAGACATAGAGAACAGACCTTGGACATGGGGTGGGGAAGAAGAGGGTGGGACGAGCTGAGAGAGTAGCATTGACACATACACATACCACATGTGAGATAGATGGCCAGTGGGAATTTGCTGCCTGACGCAAGCAGCTCAACCCAGTGCCCTGTGACCACCTACAGGGGTGGGATGGGGTGGGAGGTGGAAGGGAGGTTCAAGAGGAAGGGGACATATGTATGCCTGTGGCTGATTCATATTGATGTATGCCAGAGACCAACACAACGTTGTAAAGCAATTAGTCTTCAATTGAAAATAAATAAAATCTTTGAAAAGGCTATATTGGACAGATAATGAGTAAAATATAGGTAAGCAAAGTCCAAGAGGAGGATTAAATTGGCGGCTCTTTGTTGTAATCTGGCTCTCTCCCGATGACCAAAATCAGCACTGCTGGCCTCCAGGCTCCCTGCTCTGAGCCTGTTGGGCTCTAATGTTTAAAACGGAAGGATGCACCAAAGGTGAGGAAGGGCGCACTAGCTCCCCTGGGACTTGACATCTTCGCCTCCCTATGACCAAGTCTGGACCTGGGAAAGCTGCTTCCAGAGAAAGGAGGAGACAGACGGGGCAAAATCAGTTGCCTGACCCCTAATAGGAGGTTTGAAGTGAGGAGGCTTGCTCTGGGGATTGGTGACCTCACCTGTATTGTTATTAAAGAAGCCAAAGAGGGATTAGGATACAGTTACATTGACTTCTGGAGACCTGCTACCCAAGACAAACCGTTCAGGAAGAAGGCTGACTCTGCCACACAGCAGCGCAGAGAAAGGAAATGTTGTAGTGTGTAGGAAGATGATGATACTTGGAATTAGAATGTCAGAGTCTCACTCTGGCTGTCTAACTTGCCAGCTATGTGACCTTGGGCATATCACTTAAGCTTTCTGAGAATACTGCCCACTTCATGAAGTTGTTGTGAGGTTAAAGTGGGGTAGCCCTGCGCTTGGCACAGTGTAGTTTCTTAAAAAATTGCTTGTTAATATATTAAGGGTGATACTAGAGGCAGAAATCCCCCTGGATCCCTCCACTCCTACCCCCATATGTTTTGGGCCATGAGACCAACTCTCCTGGTGCAACAGACCTACCAAAAGGGTAGGAACATGTGGAAAGAGGTCCTCCCATTTCCCCTTCCCCGGGGAAAGACGCCAGGCTGCCTGGGTTCTTGGCCCCTGGGGACTGTCCAGATTTCTAAGGAAGGAGTGTGTTTGAGAGCCTCTAGGCAGCCCTGCCCCCAAGTCTCTGGGCTCTGTGGCCCTAGCTCTCTGAGCCCACCCAGAGGTCTTAGGAGTCCCTGGGAGTCCCTGGGGCACTTCACTGCCTGCAGTGTGCTCCGTACATTCCCTTCAATCTGTTCAGAGTCAGGCTGGGACCCTCATGAAACCAAAGACCCCTTCGTCCCATGGAGACCCCCATCCCTACACAGTACATGGGGCCAAGAACTGCAAGGCCTGGAGTCTCATAGGCACAGTCCTGGGAGAGAAGATAGGATTGGCAGGCCCAGTTCTCCTCCTGCTGCCCACTGAAGCAGCTAGAGCAGAGATCCTGGAGAGCATCTGGGTGGCAGAGGGAGCTAACAAGGCCTGAAATGCAGTTAGAGGGACCACACCACAGACAGAGTCACACAAACACGTGTGTGCTTCTCACATTTACCCCTTTCTTACACATACCTTCTCACACATAGACCTGCTTCTTATACCAGAGAACACATTTCACAGTTTCACCCCTGAAGTCACACACACACACACACACACACACACACACACACTCACACACACACATCTGTCTCCTATCTGCTTAAACTTAAGGTCATGAGGAGAGTTAGAGGGGATCACAGGAAATTTTGTAAAAGTAGGCTGGTTAAGAGCAGATTTCAGAGACTCGTTAACTTCTCCCTACCCATAGACTTCATCAGAGAAAGGACTAATCCAGGAATAGGAGAAAAACTCACCTAACAGAATAGGTGTTGAGTTTATGATTGCTGTCCTAGAAGTACAGAGACACACTCCAGGCTGTTTGGGAGATGATATATCAGCAGCATAACCCTGTCACATCACACTAGGACCTGAGCTCACAGCAGTTTCGAAAATATGAGAGATCCTTGAGGACAGTTTCAGGGTAGAGATGAGGGTGGAGCAGGTTGTCATGTTTCCATGGCAGCCTATCTCATTGCCATAGCAACAAGATTCTGCCTCTAATCTGCAAAGCCTGGGTTTCTGTAATGGGTGGAACACTGGTGTTTCATGGAATGGTGGTGAACCCCGCAACCCTTCCAAGAAAGAGAATTTCCATTCTAGACCAAGCAGAGTAGTGGTAGCCTGAGGCTGTCAAATAGGGCTGGGTTTTTCTGTGGGCAGAAGCCTCAATTTCTGAGAGTTTCCTAACTACTCTCTCCTTCCTACAGCAATTTAAACTCCCCAGCCATTGGGGACCCCCAGGAATGTCCCCACAAGGCAGACTGAGCTTTTCTGATGTCCACCACAGCTTACTCTAATGTCATGTTGTCAGAGAAGTGTGACATTGCGATGGGGAAGCCAGGCTCTGGAGTCAGGAGCCTGAAATGGCTTGCCACTCATTGGCTGTGTGCCTTGAGTGAGTTATTTTTCTTTTTAAACCTTAGTGTATTCACTGTGAAAATGGGGTCAATACATGCTAAGCCCCCTGGGTGCCTCCAAGGCTGTAGAGAAATGATGCACATAAATCCATCCAGGGTTTCCAGGGGATGTGGTGGTGGATGCATGGCCCAGTCCCTGCTGACACTCCTTGCAGATGCAGTGGGGCTTTAGGGTCTGTGGCCAAGCACCCCAGTGGAGGTCTGACTGTGGAACTCGTGTGATATTTATACCTCAGTGAACGGGGCAGTGGTCAGTATCATCTCCCAGATCAGGCTGTTCCACTGGCTGAAAACTTTCCTGGGAAAAGGGGAAGTACTTAAGCCAGCTGCCTTCCCCGTCCTAGATCAGAGCTACTCAAAGTGTGGGCGCCGGGCTCAGGGCCCTCTGCAAAACACTTGCTACCCATCTGCACTGACATAAGTCTGGAAACTGAGAGAACGTCTTCAGAAATTTTTATAGTAATTTGATGTTGCCGTAATACCACCCAAGCAGCATCCAACTGGGGCTTCTTTCTGGTTGTTTTTTAAAGTCATAGAGAGAGAGATTGTGTGTGTGCGTGTGTGTGTGTGTGTGTATGTGTGTAGAAGTACTGATCTGCCCCACTGAGGGGAAACCAAGCTTGTCCTTCACCACCTCTAGTTTGAAAAGCACTGACCTTGATAAGATGATAAAGCCCCCACCTTAAAACCAGCTAGAGATGCAGTTGGGAGACAAAGGGAACAATCTCATCTGGGCCACCTGCAAAAATGAGCCCCAGGTCACACACCGCGCACCGCGGGCTCTGCTCCCAGGGCGCCCGGAGCGTCGCGGGTCCGAGCTGCGAGCCTAGGACAGAGCCACAGGGAGAGGCTGAGTGAGGCGGGGGCCCGGAGAGAGGCTTTGGACCACCTCCTCACATCCGCATCTTCGGCTTCCCTTGTGTCCCTTGACCCCTAGAAAGCTCAGCGCTCCACGCTGGGCACCAGCAGGATCTTAGCTTGGGTGGCTTGTCCATTTGCTCCTCTCTCCTTTAACATAGCTATGGTTTCAGATATTTCACAGGATTTTCTTGACCGTCTTTTACATTGAATTCTTTTTTTTTTTTTTTTTTAAGGAAGCAAGCAGGATAGAGCTTGGAAATAATCAGCTTTGCTTCTCTTCGCGGCCGGCTGGCTGGCCCTCTATCCCTGCTTTTCATCAGGCTGCTACTAGACCAAGCTCCTTGGGGTGGTTGGGGCCATGTCCACTCATCTTGAGTCTCTCAGTGCCTTGAAAACAGTGCCTTGCTCATAGCAGGGCCTCAAAAAGTCTTATTAAATGTATAAAAGCTAATGAAAGGCTTGCAGTTAAACAAATGAAGAAAGCGAAGCAAAGACCACTGTGCTCCCACACCCTCAACAAATGTGACCCCTAATAAGCTATATCAGGACTTCAGGAAAGAAGGGAAATTGGGTCGCCTCAACCAGCACGCCTCCCCTACGCCACATGTAATCTCTCCCCTTCATACTGAGGGCTAATGAGGCTAACTTGGAAGGCACTTCACATGCAAGGCTCATTAAGTTCATTAAATTTTTAGCAGTAAGATAGTGCAGCTAGCTCTCGGGAGACAATGGCCCAGCCAGTTGTGGCAAGGGAGAGGTGGAACCGCGGTCTGGGGTGAGTGGGTGTGTGTTGGGTGGAGGGGAGAATTGACTCTGAGCCCTGCTCTTCAGGGCCCTGGCACGCTCTGGAGAAGAGGAGCGTGGGCGAGTCTGGCCCAGGGTGAGTGAGAATCTTTCTAGGAGGGCCCTGGGCCTGGCTGAGATGGGAGGGACGCTGACCTCTTTTCCAGCTACAGCCATCATCCCAGCAGGTGGATCACTGCTTAGGCATCACTGTTTTTAGCATCACCTAAAAGCTTTTGCCAAAAAGAGCCAAGAGCTCAGTGTCCCCAGGGCGGTGATGACCTTGTTCTCCGGGGGATCCTCCCTCACCCAGAAAGAGCACCTGATCCCAGGAGAGAAGACGTTCTTGGCAAAGGATACCCGGGTCCATGACCTCTTTGCACTGGGATATCTTTTTTTTAAATTTATTTTATTTTTGGCAGCACAGGGTCTTCTGCACGTGGGCTTTCTCTTGTTCCAGTGAGCAGGGGTCACTCTCTAGTTGTGGTAGGTGGGCTACTCATAGCAGTGGCTTCTCTTGTGAAGTCCGGGCTCTCAAATGTGTGGGCTTCGGTAGCTGTGGTTCTTGGGCTCTAAAGCTCAGGCTCAACAACTGTGGTGCTTGGGCTTAGTTGCTTCTTCCCAAGTCAGGAATCAAACCCGTGTCTCCTGCACTGGCAGGCAGATTCTTGAGCACTGAGTCACCAGGGAATCCCGCTTTGGGGTATCTTATGGGCACAATGACATCTTGTGTGTGGAAAGAATGCTGCAAGTTCCATAGCTGGAGAGGAACAGAGGTCCTAAGAGGCCAGGCTGACCATCCAGCAGTGTTAAACCTTGATTCCTGACTTGGGGATGAGCACCGTCCTAGCTCACGCCCTGTAGAGGGCACTCTTGGGGGAGATCAGCACCTGCTGGGTTTCTGCAGCCTTGGATTGAGTGACTTTGGGAAGGTTTCTTTACCTCTTTGGGCCTCAGTTTCTCCAGGGCTTCAATTCCACAATGAACTCATAAGAGTGAGAGGTATTAAGGATCTATCCTTTTGTGTAGTTTTTTGTTTTTTTTTTCAAATTCCCCATAAAGGAACTGATGTGACCGATAAGATAGACTTGCATAGTAAATGCCTTCCCAGCAGATCTGCACAGAAGTGGTCGGCACAGAGCAGAGAAGACCATGAAGGCGCTCGGTGGTTAGCAAGCACATGAACTTGGGTGAGCCTCCTGATGTCTACAACAGCAGAAATCCCTCTCTTGCTTGCAAGGTTAGTGGGGCCCCTATCTGTGCTGCATGGGCCAGTCTTAGGTTTCCATTGTGCAGCTTTAAATTCATATCAATGGATTAGCCATATCTGAAAAATATGGCAACTCTCATTTTGCATCAATTCACTTGCTCCCTCCCAACCCTCTTTCCAGACAACTCATACCTGTGGTTCTAGGATTCTCCATGGGCACCACCTTTTCTAATGTCTCCATGAAGGAGGTGGCACAAAGGAGAAGCATCAGCTGCCAGGAAAATAGCAGGTTCATCCTGGTGAGAAGATGCAGGTCCTGGAAGTGCCCTGAGGCCAAGACAGAGAGAGGGAGGAGGAACAGGGTTAGCTTGCTCTCTGGGCTAGGCACTGGGGTAGGGCCCCGCGCAAAGAAGCAGGCACCTGGAAGGGAGGGGACGACCCTGCCCTCAGAAGCCCCCCATGCAGGGATGAGCCTGAACCGACACAGCATGGAAATAGGACTGAGACCCCTTGCGCCATATAGTTCAAGCTAAACTCATGCTAGGTGAGATCGTCAGGGAGGGCTTCCTGCTGGGTGAGGCCAGTAGAGTTAGGAAGGAAAGAAGGGAGGGAGGATCCATACTGCAGGAAGGGGCAGGACTGCTCAGGTTGGGAGACGGCCAGGGTTCTGAACTTCAGGTTTGCTTGAGAGGAATGTTGGGAAACGAGGAGTGAGATGCAATGTGACGGTGAGCAGGGAGGGGCTGAGTGAGGTGGGGCACGGAGTTGCCCTGAGTGGGGGATGCTGAGGCCCCAGCCATTTCCCTGGAGCCTGGGAGCAGGCGCTTCTGCCTGCATGCTAGGCTCTGCGTAAATTGCAGCTCTCTGTGCTCCGCTCTCCCAGCTAGAACGTGCCTTTCTGAACCCGGCCCAGTACCTCTTGCTGTCATAGAGACTTCTTTTTTTTCCTTTTTCAAAATAAAAGGAAGAGGTAATCATCTTGCTTGCTCTCATAACCCTTCATTGCCTTAAAACCATCATTAAATTGTCTTATTGCCTATAATTCAGGAAAGAGAAAAAGGCTTTCCCTGATGTATCAGGTCAATTGTCTCCATATTCTCTTCTCCGTGGGCCCTGAGAGGGTATGGATTTAATTGACTGTATGATCTTGGCTGTTGAGGTGGGAGCTGTAGACTCTGACCCCCTTTTCCCCCCCTTCCCTTCTCATCCTCCACCAACCCCTCCAGCTCTTCCAGCTCCCAAGGCTGATTTCTTTTTGAAAAAGTCATCAGGCACTTTGAAATCCCGCTTTGGGGTATCTTATGGGCACAATGACATCTTGTGTGTGGAAAGAATGCTGCAAGTTCCATAGCTGGAGAGGAACAGAGGTCCTAAGAGGCCAGGCTGACCATCCAGCAGTGTTAAACCTTGATTCCTGACTTGGGGATGAGCACCGTCCTAGCTCACGCCCTGTAGAGGGCACTCTTGGGGGAGATCAGCACCTGCTGGGTTTCTGCAGCCTTGGATTGAGTGACTTTGGGAAGGTTTCTTTACCTCTTTGGGCCTCAGTTTCTCCAGGGCTTCAATTCCACAATGAACTCATAAGAGTGAGAGGTATTAAGGATCTATCCTTTTGTGTAGTTTTTTGTTTTTTTTTTCAAATTCCCCATAAAGGAACTGATGTGACCGATAAGATAGACTTGCATAGTAAATGCCTTCCCAGCAGATCTGCACAGAAGTGGTCGGCACAGAGCAGAGAAGACCATGAAGGCGCTCGGTGGTTAGCAAGCACATGAACTTGGGTGAGCCTCCTGATGTCTACAACAGCAGAAATCCCTCTCTTGCTTGCAAGGTTAGTGGGGCCCCTATCTGTGCTGCATGGGCCAGTCTTAGGTTTCCATTGTGCAGCTTTAAATTCATATCAATGGATTAGCCATATCTGAAAAATATGGCAACTCTCATTTTGCATCAATTCACTTGCTCCCTCCCAACCCTCTTTCCAGACAACTCATACCTGTGGTTCTAGGATTCTCCATGGGCACCACCTTTTCTAATGTCTCCATGAAGGAGGTGGCACAAAGGAGAAGCATCAGCTGCCAGGAAAATAGCAGGTTCATCCTGGTGAGAAGATGCAGGTCCTGGAAGTGCCCTGAGGCCAAGACAGAGAGAGGGAGGAGGAACAGGGTTAGCTTGCTCTCTGGGCTAGGCACTGGGGTAGGGCCCCGCGCAAAGAAGCAGGCACCTGGAAGGGAGGGGACGACCCTGCCCTCAGAAGCCCCCCATGCAGGGATGAGCCTGAACCGACACAGCATGGAAATAGGACTGAGACCCCTTGCGCCATATAGTTCAAGCTAAACTCATGCTAGGTGAGATCGTCAGGGAGGGCTTCCTGCTGGGTGAGGCCAGTAGAGTTAGGAAGGAAAGAAGGGAGGGAGGATCCATACTGCAGGAAGGGGCAGGACTGCTCAGGTTGGGAGACGGCCAGGGTTCTGAACTTCAGGTTTGCTTGAGAGGAATGTTGGGAAACGAGGAGTGAGATGCAATGTGACGGTGAGCAGGGAGGGGCTGAGTGAGGTGGGGCACGGAGTTGCCCTGAGTGGGGGATGCTGAGGCCCCAGCCATTTCCCTGGAGCCTGGGAGCAGGCGCTTCTGCCTGCATGCTAGGCTCTGTGTAAATTGCAGCTCTCTGTGCTCCGCTCTCCCAGCTAGAACGTGCCTTTCTGAACCCGGCCCAGTCCCTCTTGCTGTCATAGAGACTTCTTTTTTTTCCTTTTTCAAAATAAAAGGAAGAGGTAATCATCTTGCTTGCTCTCATAACCCTTCATTGCCTTAAAACCATCATTAAATTGTCTTATTGCCTATAATTCAGGAAAGAGAAAAAGGCTTTCCCTGATGTATCAGGTCAATTGTCTCCATATTCTCTTCTCCGTGGGCCCTGAGAGGGTATGGATTTAATTGACTGTATGATCTTGGCTGTTGAGGTGGGAGCTGTAGACTCTGACCCCCTTTTCCCCCCCTTCCCTTCTCATCCTCCACCAACCCCTCCAGCTCTTCCAGCTCCCAAGGCTGATTTCTTTTTGAAAAAGTCATCAGGCACTTTGAGATTGTCCAGCAAACATAATGAAGACAAATTGGTGGAGAGCCAGGCAGCACCGCAGGCTGAGCAGAACGGGTGCTGGTGCCAGATCTAAGGCCGGAACCTCCCTCTGCGGTCAAGGGGCAAGTGGGTGGGGGGACTCCTGTTTGTGCCCGTCAGCTGCCAATGGTTGCTCAGCCCACCCGTCCCTCTGTTCTTGCTCCTACACCTTGGTCCCCTCCTGCTCCCTCTGAGATGCAAGCATGGGGTGGAATACAAATGGTATCAGAAGGATTCAAATCTGGCTGCAGCTCCTCCCTCCCTCCTGTGAGATTAGAACAAGTCCACCCCTCATATCTGGATCTTACTGTTACGTGTGAAAAATAAGCGCATTGGATCAGACTGGCCACCAACTGTCCCCTCGGATGGTCACTTTCCTTGTACACTTTGACTCTGTGATACCCTGGAACCCAGATCCTTAAGGCCTGGGGCAGGGCGTGGAGTGGAGACAGGTTCAGTCCACTAGAGAGAACAGTGTAAAGCTGTTTCTTTTGTGGCTTTAGACCCCAGGTGCACAGGGTCCAGGTCAGCTCAGAAATCATTCTTGATAACAACAACCAGGTGCTGCACGCCTTCCCCTGGGCCTCCCCCTGAGGTCTAGCACAAGAAACTGAGTCATAAGCAGACCGTCTCAAGGTAACATGGCCAGTGATAGACCAGAGGTTTGTGAGTACATGGGTGGGGTGGGGGAGACTCTCACCCCCTTTTCACCCCCTTCCCTTCTCATCCTCCACTGCGCCCCTCTCGCTCTTCCAGCTCCCAAGTCTGATTTCTCTTTGAAAAAGTCATCAGGCACTTTGAGGTTGTCCAACAAACATAACGAAAGACAAGTTGGTGGCGAGCCAGGCAGCACCACAGGCTGCCTGAGGGTGTTTCAGAGCCCATGGGAACCTGACCTGGAGGGGCCAGGCAGGTTTTCTGCAGCGGTGGCGCCTGAGCTGTCTCTGAGCACAGATCAGCCTGGTGAGTAAAGGTTCATCCACGGCAGTCCCAGCAAGGAAGCCGAAGCCAGGAGTAGAGGGAGGTGCCACTCTCCAGCCTGCCAGGGCGTGGGTCTTTGCTGGGGGGAGAGTGAATGATGCAGCTGGGAAAGGGGCTGCCAGGGCCTTCATCCCAGAGCAGTGTGAGCCAGACTGGAGAGTGTGTAGATGAGCGTTTTGGATGGAGAATTCAGGCTGCTCTTCAGAAGCAGGATGGTGCGTGAGGAAGGGGGCAGTGGGCAAGCTGTGTGGTTAGAAGGTGGTGTTCCTCCTTCATGCTCCTCTCACTTGTATTGCTTCCTCCCCATCCCAGCAGAGGTGGTGCTTGCCTTGGGCACCATGTGAGAACCTTGGTTTTTCCCTGCTACCTGTCCCCAACACACACAAACACACACACACACACACACACACACACACACACACACACAGCTCTTGGTTCCTGCCCAGCACAGGGGCTTTTAACATGTGGTACAACTGAATTGTTTGGAAAAGCACCATCAGCTTCCAAGGGCCACAAGTGGCAATTTTGTGGTCCCTCTGTCCCAGGAGTTTTGTACCTAGAGAGTAACAGAAATTCCAGGCTTGGGGGGCGGGGTGGCTCCCTTCTGAGGTGAACCCATCTCCTAGTGCCGGGGCTGGCAGGGCACTCAGGAGCTCTTTACCTCTGTGTTTGCCATCTGCGCAATGGGGAACTGCCCAGAGGAGCCCCCGGTGTTCCCCAGGTCCCTCCAGACGCCTCTGTGACCCCTCATCCCAGCCATGGGGAGCTCATTCACTGCATTCACTTCCCAGAAAGTAACCCCAAGGTCCTGGTTTCATAAAGTGCAAGTCAGTGTATTTACCCTGACATTCCAGTCAAGTGGGAAGACCAGCACCCCTTTTGCCTGCCTGGATACATGCCTGCTCCCACCTTGCGAGCCTCCCTGGGTCCAGCCAGACCCCTCCGCTGGTGTGGGGGCTGCAGGCCACCTACCTTGCCTTGGCTGTGTCCTGAGGGGTCTCCGAGTGATGGCACCGCTTGGGCAGTAGGGCACCTGGAGGGAGGCGAGCTGGGCTCCTGGGCTCGCGCTCACCGGCGCCCTGATCACGGCCCTTATAAAGCCCAGGGTGACGTCTCCAGGCACACACCCACCTCTGCCCCCCCACCCCAGCCCCTCGGAGAGTGCAGCCCTCCCGCTCCCTGCTGCTGGCTCCTGCCTCCTGGTGCCTGTGGCTAAAATCAGCCTTTCCCTCCCTCTCCAGGAGTCTTCCAGGGCTGGCTTTCTGATTCCCAATAGTTCTTTGCAGCCTCCTCACCTGCTTCTCCCGAGGCCCACTCACAGATCCACTCTGCCCCCAAACAACATTGAAAGGGACTGTTTGGGGCTGGGAGAGGCTCAGCACGCCTTGACCCCCGTGTCCCCCAGCTCTGGCAGCTCAGCTGGGGTCTCTGACCAGACGGCGGCTCCTGGGTTGGGGGCGGGGGTCCGGGGCTTGGTAGGGGGATTGTCTTTTCTTCTCTGCTCCCTTCTTTCCCCAAGCAATTCCTGAGCTCAGCCCAGGGTTTGGAGACGAACGTGCCGTGGTCAGATGGGCGAGACAGGCATGTGAGCAGCCAGCTAGGAAGGCAGCATGAAACGGCAGTTCTAGAAGGCGGGTGTCCCTGGGAAGTGCTGAAGGAACTGAGGAGAGCCCTCCAGGTGAGTGTGGTGTGTGTGAGGTGCAGCTCCTGCAGCCCCTCGGTCACATCCTGTGACGCCAGTCTCGCCATTCTGAAATCGCCGTGAACCTCTCTTCGAAGTGGGGAGGTCTGCTTTCCTTTGCACCCTCAGCACCCGCTCCCTTGTTCTGCACAGACACAGGGGCCCTCGCAGAAACATATTAAATGTACTCGTTGCAGGGGATTCCTGACTCTTTCTTGAGAAAGAGTGTGCTTTGCCCTTAGACGGGGGCTTCCCAGGACGGACTGGGGCTCTCGGAAGTAGGGGCGCAGCATTCTACCCCAGCACAGAAGCTACCTGGCGAGTGCGCCATGCAGATAACCACCTAATCGATAGTTGGGAAGCACTTCCCACCATCCTGGGGATTAATGCTCATTCCTTGTTTAACAGCTGCCGCTAACAGGGGCCTGCAAACATCTTATCTCCCTCATTAGGGCCGGTAAACAGGGTTTAATGATGAGCCGTAAGGGCTGGCCTGACCCTCCTCAGGTAGAATGATGTCTGTGGGCCCACCCTGAGTCAGAGAGTGGGCTTAATGGGCTAGAGACACTGAGTCTCAGGCACATTCACAGCTTGGGGATTTAATCTTTGCTTCTCCTCTCGTGGGCCCTGGATCTCTGTTCCCAGCAGTCCTGACGGCTTCCTGCATTGACTAGGGGATCAAGGTCAGTCCCTCGGCTCCGTCCCTCCTTCTGGACCTGGAGAGGTCCGGATGCGTCAGGGGGGTGAGTCAGTGCTGGGTGGGCGCCTGTGAGATGTCTCCCGTTTCCTTTCCAGCCCCCTCGCCCAGTGATCCAAGTTCAAGGAGTGCATCTCTGCTGTTCAGACCATTGAACTGGTGCCTTGAAACCTCCGGAACAGCTGTGGGAGGCAAGAATCATTACTGCAGACAAAGAGTGGGGAGCAGACTCAATATCCAGGTTATTATGAAGCTGGCCTTGAGACCCAGGAGCGCCAGGTGCAGGTATGGAGGGGGGCCACGGGGGCGTGCCGTGGCTGGCGTGCCGAGGGGTGGCCCCGGGCCTTCCTGGGCTTCTAGGGGGCTTGTGTTCTGCCAGGTGCCTCAGAGAGGGGAGGGCTGGGGGCCGGGGACCCCCTGCCCCAAGAAGAGGACAGAGGCACCACCATTTCTGTTCTCACGGGATGTCACACATCCTCCCTACCCGGAGCCCAGAGTCAGCCAGTTCTCCAGGGGTCACCGAGACCCCCAAGGCTCCTTTTCTTTGGCTCTAACAGGGAGCTGTTGACCAACACCATTCCCAACACCCACACTTTTGGCACAACTGCTCACAGAGCCCTCATCCGCTCTTGTCGGGAAGAGGGGCCGAGACGGGCCAGCCGGGGAGGGGTTTGGGCGGAGATGGGAAAGGATCCTCTGCACCTGGGGAGCAGCTTCACCAAGTCTGTGTGCTTCCCCCTCCCCAAGGACCACCACCAAGTCATGCACATGATTCACTTACCGCACTCAGGAAGGGGATGTTGCAGGTACTCCCCAGGAAGCCAAAGGCGACAGGGAAAAAGCCCCTAGGAGCAGAGAGGCGGAGAGGGAATCAGGGATGCACCAGAGGGGAGGCTGAGGTCCCGCTACAGGCTCCAGCTTTGGCTCCTGGGAGAGCAGGGCCTTGGACCCTGGGCAGGCATGGCTCTGCACTGCTGCTTTTCAAGAGGCAGTAGGTGGACTAGTTACAAATGTCCCATCTGCGCTCCACCTCTCACTGGCCCTGTGCAAATTTGGGCAAATTCCTTAACACCTCTGAATCTGTTTCCAGTTGTAAAATGGGGTTAATAATAATAGCATCCACATCTCCACAAAGAAATGCTTGGGAAATGTCTATCTTTGTTAGTCGTGTCTCCCTAGACCGCCTGTGAACTGCCTGCCGCAGGTTTCCCAGTCCCGGGCACGGATCACCGATGGAGGATGTACTGTTTATTCTCCCCGACACCTGGCACCCCTCCCCTACTATACCCTCCCCTGGAAAGAATGGTGACCCTCCAAAGGACTTGGGGGCACAGAGGCTGGTGTGGGGAGGGAATAGAGATCTGAATTCTGGCTGACTACTTCCTCTCCTTGGACCTCGGTTCCCTGAGGTCCACTTGCATTTCTGAGGTCTCTGATAGCTGTGATTTTCTTCCCCCTTCAATGCTGCTGCAAGCTGTCTTTGTCTAGGTTTCCTTTTGGCTAGAATTACTGCGTCTGCAGAGGCCCCACTCGCACTTTTGATCCACACCTGGATCAAGTTCAGATCCTTTGCATGCTCCTTGTGAGAGTTGAGGCAGGGGCAGGCTCTCTGGGCCTTGGTTTTCTCATCTACAAGAGGACAGCCCTACAGTGGGCGGTGGAGATGCCAGAATGAGAGGGAATTGTGAACCTGCTTGGTGCATGTGACGGCTTCGTGGATTCACGTTCACCGTCCCTGCCCCCGTCTGGCTGCTTGGCTTGTGCAGGCCCTGGGCTGGTGGCTGGTGCCGGGCGCCGCCCCGGGCACAGGCAGGCGCTCCGTGTTTGCTGGTGGGTGTGCCGGCCCCTCCAGCTCGCAGTGTTCACCAGGTGCCTCCCCCGTTTCCAGCCCTTCTGAGTCTCCCGCCTCTCTCGGGATAAAGTCCGGCTACTGTATGCACTGCCCACACGTTGCCCACCCCCGCTGGAGCCTGACCTCAGCTGCTCAGAGGCCCTGGAGTGCCAGTCGCGAGGCCCGGGGCCTGTTCTCACCTGAAGAGGCTGAAGAAGCCATAGGCTTCCAGAATCATGCCCAGGAGAGGCCAGCGCAGCAGGACGACGGCCACGCCCCCCAGGAAGAAGCTGGTGCCCTTGAGTTTGTGCCTCTGGAAGAAGAAGGAGAACGTCCTCCTCAGGCCGATGATGAGGGAGAGGCCAGTCAAGAACAGCAGCTGTGGGGGGCGAGAGCAGTAGGCCGGTGAGAGCGAGCACGCTGGCTCCGAGCCCCCCACGCCCGAGTCCGTGGCTGCCGGGAGCCGCTTCAGCGGCGGGGCGGGACCTGCTCCTCCTTCACAGGCCAACGGTATCTGCGAGGCCGAGCCGGCGGCAGCCCCGAGTGGCTGGGGCTCGTGAGGGGCAGAAGGACCCAGAGGCAGGGGTCCAGGGCGTTGCAGGCCTCTAGCTTGTCACCCAGCTCAGCCTGGTTTCTTGGGTCCCAAGCACTTCCTCACGTATGGTGTCATTTTTCATCACACCTCCCAAGTAACGCGGAAAAGACTCTCCATCTTACAGAGGCTGAAAGCCAGGCCTCAGTAGGTTGGGCAGCCACACCCGAGTCCCAGGGAGCTGGTGGAGCCCCGGGCCTCCACTCCTCGGCCCTGTGAGTGCCTCGGGCTCCTGTCAGACTGGGTCTCGAATCATCTGAGTTCCCACCCCCCACCCCCAACCCAGGGCCTCACCTGGAGCTTAGCATGAGAATCCAGGTCCTCAGGTTCTCTGTGCCCATCCCCAGCCTCCACCCCTTGCCTGCCCAACGCAGGTGGCACACGATGCCTGGCTGGACCCAATCTGAGTAAACTCGGAGCTGACCCGCCCGGCAGCGGAGACCTCAGGTTGGTTCACAGGGTTCACAGGGCTGGAAGACTCACATTTCCGAAGGCCAGGAGCACCGAATCAAAGTACAGGAGTGTTCCAAAGAGGATGAAGAAGATGCCGAAGCCAGCAGTGCCCACACCAATCTCTGCAATGGGCAAGTAAGTTGTGGTGGGATGGGTTTGGGGAGCAAGCTGGGATGCTGCAGCTCCCCCATCGCCCCTGGACAGGTGCCCTCTGGGGGTGGGAGGTGGGGTGGCTCTGTTGTCATCCGGGAGTCTTGGCTTCCATGCTCTCAGAGAAGGATGGGAAGGAAGGGGAGGGTGGGCACAAATCTCCGTTTAGCACCTGGAAACTGCTGTTCAGTTCTGCCCACATCCTGCCCTCACCACTGCTCCACAAGTAGCTAGTGCTGCCCTCACTGCTTTTTCTCTTTTCAGTTTCCTCTTCAAGATCTTCAAGATTTCTTCTTGTCTGCTAGATCATTATCAGGGTTGTGACTCTGGCTGAACACAACCTGTTGCCTGCTCTGTTCCTGTTTTCTTAGAGCTGGAAGCCACTTGATGCCAACTCACACCCGGGTCAAAGAGTACCACCAAAGACTCATAGCCACAGCGCCATAGTATCTCAGACCTGCCCAGCTGGCCTGCCCTATTTCTCAGGAGGCCTGTCCTCCTGATAATTCTCACAGCCTCTCCTTTCTTCTCTAAACTGCTCTGGTCCCCGGCTTTCCAGTGATGACCCATCACACTTGAAAGGGAAAGAGAAGTCATGGACCAGAAATGCGCTCGTCACCTGGAAGTCTGTGCTGCAGCCAGCAAAGTGATTGCCCCACCACACAGCTCCCAGGCCCTAACTTCATGCCGTAACAGTGGCCAGGCTGTTTGCGCCAGGTGGGCCCCAGCAGCAGTGTGTCTTTTACTTTGCTTTCCTTGTTCTTTGAACTGTAGCAGTTGGCTTAGAGCCAACACAGGGAGCCCAACACAGTTGTGCAGGATGTTTAGGATACGAAGTTTATTTTCTCTTAAACCTTCATTTTACTTTATCTGTGCCTCTCTGGTAGTCAACAAATGACAATTCATTGTGTTGCTTCATTTTGAAATTGAATCAAGTTGAAAATTTCATGTTAAATTACAGCAAAATACACATAAAGTTTACCACCTTAACATCTTTAGGTGTTCAGTTCATGGGTATTAAGTACACTCACCTTGGTACACTCTCACCACCTCCCACATCCAGAACTCTTTTCATCTCACAACACCGAGACTCTACCCACTGAAAGACTCCTTGGCCACACCTGCCCCCCGCCCCCGCCTTTGGCAACCACCACTGTATGCATTCTCTGTTTCTGTGATTCTGACTAGTCTAGGTGCCTCATATGACTGCAATCATACAGTGCTTGCCTTTGTGTGACTGGTGTATTTCACTCAGCACAATGTCTTCAATGTTGATCCATTTTATAGCATGTGTCAGAATTTCATTCCTTTTTAAGGCTGAATAATATTCTATTGTATGCATACTACATTTCATTTATTCATCTGTGGATGGACTTGGGATGCTTCTACCTTTTGGCTAGTATACATAATGCTGCTGTGAGCAAGGGGGAACAAATACCTCTTTGAGACTCTATTTTCACTTTGGGGTTTATATCCACAGGTGGAATTGCCAGGTCATATGGTAGTTCTATTTTTAATTTTTTGAGAGACCACCATACTATTTCCCACAGAAGTTACGCCATTTTATGTTACTAGTAGTGATGCACAAGGGATTCCAACTTCTCTGCAACCTTACCAACACTTGTTACTTTCTGCTTTTTGCTTTGTTTTGTTACTGATAGCAGGGTGTGAAGTGGCATCTCACTGAGGCTCCCATTGGCATCTCCTTGATGGTTACTAATGTTGAGAATCTTTCATGCCCTTATTGGTCATTTGTATATCTGTTTTGGACAAGTGTCTATTTAAGGCCTTTGCTCATTTTTAAAACAGGTTGTTTGGATGTTTTTGTTCAGTTATAGGAGTACTTTGTATATTTTGGATAGTAACCCCTTATCAGATATATGGTCTGCTAATATTTTCTCCTATTCTGTAGGTTGCCTTTTCACTCTCTTGTATCTTTTGATGCACAGGAGTTTTAAATTTTTTATATAGTGCAATGTTTCTATTTTCTCTGTAGTTTCCTGAGCTTTTGGTATCACACCCAAGAAATAATTGCCAATTCTAGCATTGTGAAGCTTTTCTCTTATGTTTTCTTCTAAGAACTGTTTTAGATCTTACTTGAGCTAAAATGAACTTTAATTTTTACATGTGGTGTAAGATAAGGGTCCAGCTTCATTCTTTTGCCTGTGAATATCCAGTTTTCCCAACATCATTTGTTGAAAAGACTGTCTTTTCTCCACTGAATGGTCTTGGTACCCTTGTTGAAAACCATGTGCCCATATATGCCAGGGTTTATTTCTGGGCTCTCTCTTATATTCCATTGGTCTCTATGTTTGTCTTCATGCCAGTCTCACTGTTTTGATTACTGTAGCTTTGTAATAAGTTTTGAAATCAAGAAGTTTGAAACCTCCAACTTTGTTCTTTTTCAAGATTGCTTTGGCTATTCAAGACTCCTTGAGATTCCATGTGAATTTAAGAATGAATTTTTCTATTTCTGCAAAAGATGTCATTGGGATTTTGCTAGATTAATTGCATTGAATCTGTAGACTGCTTTGAGTAGTATTGACAGCTTAACAATATTGTCGGCCAATCCACAAATATGGGTCTTTCTACACATTAGTGTCTTTTAAAATTTCTTCTAGCAACATTTTTTAGTTTTCAGGGTACAAGACTTTTGCCTCTTTAGTTAAGTTGATTCCTAAGGCTTTTATTCTTTTTGATGCTATGGTAAATGGAATCATGTTGCTTCCTTTTAAAAAATCACTGATTACGTACAACTTTTTATATTTTAATGTTCATATTGCTTTGCAACTTGCTTTATTTACTTAATATAGCTAAAATTCCTTATTTTCTTTTTGTTGTAAATTATAGGATGACTAGAGAAAGGGCTAGAGTGTCTTTTTCAACTACAATGTGTATAACTTTGTTAAAAATAGCTTAATTTTAAAAAAGAAAACACATAGGTAAATTGTAAAGAGAAAGTTTTTACTGGATTTGTTAGCTAACATCTTAGCATCTCTATGAAATTGGTATTATTGTCATGTTTCTATGCGTGTCTGTGCTCAGTCAGTCCATCACGTCCGGCTCTTTGTGACCCCATGGACTGTAGCTCACCAGACTCCTCTGTACATGGAGTTTTCCAGGCAAGAATACCATAGTGGGTTGCTATTTTCTACTCCAGGGGATCTTCCTGACCCAGGGATTGAACCTGCCATGTCTCCATAGAGAGTTGTAAAAAGTTGCTGAAAGCTTGGTGGTTAAGAGGCAGAACTAAGAAAACAAAACAGAAACAGAATTATGAAGACAAGGCTTACTGGCTTAATTATATTTGCAACTGAAAGAAAAGGAAACACAATTGTCTTTCAGGTAATTAATCTTTCCTAATCTGTGCCTGTGGCTCAATGGGTAAAGAATCTGCTTGAAATGCAGGAGATACAGGTTTAATCCCTGGGTTGGAAAGACCCCTGGAGAAGGAAATAACAACCTACCCCAGTATTCTTGCCTGGAAGTCCCATGGACAGAGGAGCCTGGCGGGCTACAGTCCATGGGGTCATAAAAGAGTTGGACACGACTTAGTGACTAAACAGAAACAACTTGTTATCATACAGATCTTAGGAGGAGAATTAATACCAGTTCCAGTATAGAAATAAGGCCAAAGGCTTTCCTTAAAAGAATCATTAAAAATACAGAAATGAGATTTGGACTGAAACCTCATTCAACTCATTATTCAAAAAAACAAAAAAAAAACAAAAACAGCCTAATTAGTTCTCCCTTTTGGCAGAGTTGGATTTGCTAGGAACCAGCACAGCATCATTTCTCTCAGCGTATTGCCCCACCACCAGAATCCATCTGCAACTAAGGGCAATTACTCCTGTTTCTGACAAATCTCCGTAATCTATTCAAGCTTCCTATTTCTACCTTCTAGAATGCCTGCCCGAATTAAATCTCTTAGAGCCCAAGACACTGAAAAATACAACCTCCTTGGTCATTATGAAGGTTGTGTTCTTTCCATGTTGCATGATTTTTCTACCGTCAGAGACAATAAGGGCTTCCCCGGTGGCTCAGCAGTAAAGAATCTGCCTGCAATGCAGGAGTCACAGGAGAGGTGGGTTTGATCCCTGGAACAGAAAGATCCCCTGGAGGAGGGCATGGCAACCCACTCCAATATTCTTGCCAGGAAAATCCCACGGAGAGAGGGGCCTGGCAGGCTACAGTCCATGGGTTTGCAAAGAGTTGGACATGACTGAAGTGACTGAGCATGTGTGCATGAAGAGACAATAAATTGAGGATCAAGAAGTATTTCTACCTTGTTGTGATTATTTTACATGGGCCAGAATGTTGTGGAGGAAGACCACAATCTGAATGACAAAAATATTTTAAGTTTTGATGACTGCTATAAAAACCTCTTATGAGAGGTCAGGAGATCACTACTGATACATGACTACCATCCGGCACTCAGGCCCCATTCACGTTTCCTCAGTTGCCCCTGCAATATCATTCAGAGCGAAAAGGTCCAGTTCAGAATCACATGTGGCATGTGCTTGCCATGTCTCTTCAGACTGTTATGTCTAGAACAGTTCTTCAGTCTCTCTTTGACATGACCTTGACACTTGGAAGATCTGAGCCAGTCATCCAATAGCAGGCCCTCTATTTGGGTCTGTCTGTCTGATGTCTCCGCATGACTGTATTCGGGTTATGCAGATATATCAACAAGAGGTGATGCCGTGTTCTCCTCCTGCCACTGTTAGGTGATGCACGATTCCAGTTTGACCGTTACTGAGGATGTTTCTTCAAGTCGGAGTCTGCAGGACCTTCCACATAAAGTGACTCTCCAGCCCCTACCAAGACCCTGCCAGATGCCCCCCTCCTCCTGGCCAGATGAACCCCGCCCAGCGTGAACCCTCCAACCTGAGGCACGCTCTGACGCCCACCCTGGGCACTGCCCCCCTTCCGCAGTATGGTTTTAGGACTGAATTGTTCAGGCAGGAGGGAAAAGGGAAAAGAAAGAGCCCATTTCTCTTTACAGAATTAACAGCGGTGACTGATAGTAGTCATTGTTAACACTGGTGAGCACACGGTGCCAGGCAGTTTAAGCACTCTGTATTAACTCATTTTGTCTTCATACCTGCCTATGCCGTAGGTATGTTTTCAGCCCATTTCACAGACAAAACTGGAACATGAATGGTCGTAACGTATGCCCAAGGGTGCACAGCCAGCAGAACCAGGGTGTGAACCCAATAGACTGACTCTAGAGAAGTGACTTTAACCAGCCCCGTCCAACCCACTCCTGCCCCCGCCCCCTCTGCAGGAACTGCTCTGGCCCGGGCTCCCGACATCCCAAACGCAAAGCATGGGGTCGGGCCTCCTCTGCCAGCAGCTGGCCACCCCCTTCTTGCAGCATCCTCTAGTGGGCTCCGTGACACCATATTCTCGATTTCTTCCTGCTATTCTGGCCGCTCCTCCCAGCCTGCTTTGCCAGCTCCCTCTTCTCTCTCTCCCTCTTGGGGTCTGAATTACTCAGGGCTCCAGTTCCAGCTCATTTCTCTTCTCATTCTAGTTGCACATGGACTCCCACTTCTTTAAGTATCTCCTGTGTACTGACAATATCGATATTTATCTTTCTAGCTCGTGCCGCCTCTGAGCTTCCAAACTCCTATCCAGCTGCCTACTTGGCATATCTGCACGTTTTTCTCTCTTCAGGACATCTTGAACTCAACAGGTCCAAACTGAGCTATTGGTTTCCTTCCTTAAAGCTGCACTTGGCTCAGTTTTCCCCAAATGAATAAAATGTCATCACCATCCACTCAGCAGCTTGAGGCAGAAGCGCAGTGGCCTCACGGCTCCGCCACTCGCTCTGCATTCGATCCACAGGTGAGTGTTATTGCTTCTTCCTCCCAAGTGTATCTTGAAAGCTGTCCATTTCTCTCCACGCTTACGACTTAGTTCTAAACCACCATTGTCTCTTTCCCGTACTCTGCAACATTCCCCAGTTAGTCTCCGGCTGCGTTCCTGTCCCCGTTATGCCTTCTCCATACGGTCGTCAGGGCTCTTGGAAAACATACAGCCTACTCATGTTAGCGCAGCGGACAATCTGTCATGGCTTCCCGTGGGCTTAGAAGGAAAGAGTCCTCCCAGCTTGCCTTGGCTCACGGGCCCGTCAAGGGGCTTGGCCTGCTTGTCCGACCGCATCGCCTGGAGCAGGGCAGGAGAGAGCATGACCCTTGCCTGCCCACTCCGAGCACATCCTTGCTCCCAGGACGGACCTTCCTGCCTTAGGGTCTCTGTACACACGGTTTCTTCCCGCTTGTCGTCTGGCCGACGCACACTCCGCCTCCGGGTCTCACCACGAATGGCGGTGTTCCCGGGGAAGTCTGGTCCACTCTCCATTCCTGACTTAATCTGGTTGCCTCATTTTCTCTCTTGCAGGACTGACTTAGCACATTCTTCTTAGAACTTAGCACATTTTGGTTTAATAAAATGTAGGCTTGTCCATGGGCTCAGGCCTGAGCCCTCTTCTCTCTATTTTTCCCCCAGGTCAGTGTTTCTCACCCTGGCGGGTGGGGGGAGGGCTGACAGGTGGTGGGCTGGCAATTCCGTTCCCCAGGGGACATTTGGGGATGTATAGACCGGCTGATGGTCACAGTTGGTAGTGAGAGTGTGCTCCTGCCATCTAGTGGGGATAGGCCAGGGATGCTGCTAAAATCCTGTAATAGAAAGGACAGACCTCCTAAAACAAAGAACTGTAAGCCACATCTGACTCTCTGTGACCCCACGGACTAGTCCATGGAGTTCTCCAGGCCAGAATACTGGAGTGGGTAGCAGTTCCCTTCTCCAGGGGATCTTCCTAACCCAGGGATGGAACCCGGGTTCTTTACCAGCTGAGCCACCAGGGGAGCCCCCGGGGAAGAGTACTCAAGTGGGCAGCCTATCTCTTTTCCAGGGGAACTTCCCCACCCAGGAAGCGAACCGGGGTTTCCTGCCTTGCAAAGAACTACCCTGCCCGCAAATGTCAGTAGTGGGGAGGCTGAGAAACTGTGCGCCGATCTCATGGTTTTAAATACTATCCGTATGCTGGCAATTCCAAAATTTCTCTCCATTCCACACTCATGTACCTGACTACCTACTTGACCACAAACTCAACATGTCTAAAACCCAACTCCTGCTTTCCTTCTCAACCCTTCTAATTGCTCAGGCTGGAAATATTGGAGGCATTCCTGGGTTCTTTCTCTCACACGCCACATCCAATCCACCAGCAAACCCTTTCGGCAGTTTGCTCAGCGCACGTCTAGCACTATTCCCCCCCAGTATGATGCTACCACCCTGGTCTCCCCGTCTCTCGCCTCAGAACTGGTCTTCCCCTCACCATCTCCTGCCTCGTAACCAGTCTCTCTGTTGCTGTCCTTCCAGTCTGTCTACCCTCGATCCAGTACTCAGAATGATCTTTTAGAAACATAGGCAGATCACATCACTCCTCTGCACAGCATCTCCTAATGGTTTCCCACCTTCTGCAGATAAAGCCAGAGTCCGGATGCAGCCTGGCTGCTGGGCGATCTCCTGACCAGCCTGCTGCTGCTCTCCCCTGCCCTCAGTGGGCTTCGGCCACACCAGCCTCCTTGTGTCCCTGCGTAACACCTCAGGGCCTTGGCACTGGTGGTCCCCTCTCCCGAGGAGATTTCTCCCTCCAGACAGCTCGTGGCTTTGCCCCCTCAATTCCCATGCACCGCTGTAAAAAGCGCTTTCCCCGGGCAGTTTAGTGGCCACTGTACACAGAGCAGTAACCCCTCCCACTCGGCACTCCCACGCCTCTTTACCCTGTTTTATTTTTGTCCAGAGGACATACTATGTACTGACCTCTTCATCTGCTAGTTACCTGTTTCCTCACCCTGGAGAATAAGCAGGGTATATATCTGTTTCATACATTGGTGCATACTGTGCCCACCTCAGTGCTTGGCACATAGAGGAGACAGTAAATGAATGGATACTATCTCCAGTTCACAGATGAGACACTGGCTTTAAGTAACTCACCCAAGCGAAACTCATAGAGCCACAGTTCTCATCACTTTTCCCAGCCCTGGGGACCACCTCCCTGCCCTCTCTCGGGAAGAAATGGGCAGGATATTTAGGAGTGAAGACAGGGTGATTTAGGGAGAGGATTTGAGTTTAGTTTCTGATAAGAAGGTGCCAGGGCTACAGAAGACTTTAAGACTTTGTGGGGGGAAGAGTCTGAATAGGCAGAGGCCTTCCAGGTCCACCCTGGCAGTACCCCCGGTTTCAGAACCCTGAATGGGGACAGGATCAAAGTGGTGAGCCTGCCAGTTCCTCCAGGCAGCAGCCTCTGGCTACCTGGGAGCGCTGAGCAGCCCTGGCCCAGACAGCAGGGATCCCAGCTGGCCCCGGCCCTGCGGCCTGGGGGAGGCCAACGTGGCAGCTCCCAGCCACTGGCTCCAGAGGTCACCTTGCAGGTTCCCCAGGGTCGGCCAGGCTGGGAGGGGCCGCACCTCCCCCACCCCAGCCCAGCGCCCTCAGCAGCGCAGCCCAGCCCCAGGCACTCACTCTGCCATTCGGTGATGGAGATCATGTCGAGGGCTGCCTGGGGGGCACTCCAGGAGGAAGCTGGCCAGGGGCAAGGAGCCCTGAGGACCGAACCTGTACATGCTCAAGGGAAGCTGACCCTTGGTAAGTTGTGAAATGAGCCTCTGGCAAATCATTAACTCCCCAACACATCCACACACCTACACGCACACATACACACGCAGTCACCCACACACACTCACATACAGGGCTGCTTAAAGTCACAGTCTCTCTCCTGGTTTCTCCCAGAGGGCACTGCTCCCTCCCGCGGGGAAGTCCATGCCTGTCTGACTCTTGTAATTCCCCCCAACCCATCCCCTGAGCAGAGAAGGCAATGGCACTACACTCCAGTACTCATGCCTGGAAAATCCCATGGATGGAGGAGCCTGGTAGGCTGCAGCCCATGGGGTTGCAAAGAGTCTGACACGACTGAGCGACTTCACTTTCACTTTTCACTTTTATGCACTGAAGAAGGAAATGGCAACCCACTCCAATGTTCTTGCCTGGAGAATCCCAGGGACGGCGGAGCCTGGTGGGCTGCCGTCTATGGGGTCGCACAGAGTCGGACACGACTGAGGTGACTTAGCAGCAGCAGCAGCACTCCTCAAGCCCTCCGTTCTTTGCCCCAGTGCTCTGGGCTGGACCACGGAGAGCANGAAAGTTATGACCAACCTAGATAGCATATTAAAAAGCAGAGACATTACTTTTCCAACAAAGGTCCGTCTGGTCAAGGCTATGGTTTTTCCAGTGGTCAGGTATGGATGTGAGAGTTGGACTGTGAAGAAAGCTGAGCACCGAAAAATTGATCCTTTAGAACTATGGTGTTGGAGAAGACTCTTGAGAGTCCCTTGGACTGCAAGGAGATCCAACCAGTCCATCCTAAAGGAGATCAGTCCTGGGTGTTCATTGGAAGGACTGATGCTGCAGCTGAAACTCCAGTACTCTGGCCACCTCATAAGAAGAGTTGACTCATTGGAAAAGACCCTGATGCTGGGAGGGATTGGGGGCAGGAGGAGAAGGGGATGACAGAGAATGAGATGGCTGGATGGCATCACCGACTCAATGGGCATGAGTTTGAGTAAACTCCGGGAGTTGGTGATGGACAGGGAGGCCTGGCGTGCTGCGATTCATGGGGTCGCAAAGAGTCGGACACGACTGAGCGACTGAACTGAACTGAATGCAAATTCAAGTTGGAACCCACCAAAAGAGATAGCCCACAACCAAAGGCAAAGGAGAAGCCACAACACGATAGTAGGAGGGGTGCAATCACGTTTAAGATGAAACCTCATACCCACCAGAGACGCTTGGAGGGCACAGACAAAACCTCGTGTGCACGGGCACCGAGGGAGAGGAGCGGTGACCCCGCAAGGGGCGGGCCAGACCTGCCGTGGTGTCTGAGGGCCTCCTGCAGCAGCGTGCTGCAGGGACAGGGGCTCCGGCAGTAGCAGTCCTGGGAGGGGCGGCCTGTGGCCCAAGTCCTCTTGGAGGAGGTTGCCACGAGCTCGTTGGGCCACCAGGCGAGCAACTCACAAACTGGAGGACAATTATACCAAAGAAGTTCTCACTGCTCTGAAGCTTCCAGGCCCCACCAGACTATCCAAGACTCAGTATCCGCAGGGAACCTGACTTTGAAGAGCAGTGAGATTTGATAGCAGAGCTTCCACAGTGGTGGTGAAACGGAGGCTCTTGGCGGGCACAAACAAAACCTGTGCACACCAGGACCCAGGAGAGAGGAGCAGAGACCCCACAAGAGACTGAGCCAGACTTGCCTCTGTGTGCGGGAGTCTCTGGTGGGGCGTGGGGCTACAGTGCGGGTCAGGGCACTGGCTCCAGCAGTCCTGGGAGGCTCAGCGTGCTGTCTTAAGCCCTGTTGAAGGAGGTCACCATTACAGCCATCACCGCCACCACAGTTTGGCCTCAGGCCAAACTACAGGGAGGGAACACAGCCCCACCCATCAGCAGAAAATTGGATTAAAGATTTACTGAGCATGGCCCTGCCCACCAGAGCAAGACCTACTTTTCCCCACAGCCAGTCCCTCCCATCAGGAAGGGTCCACAAGCCTCTTATCCTCATCCATCAGAGAGCAGACAGAATGAAAACCACAATCACAGGAAACCAACCAAATTGATCACATGGATCACAGCCTCACCTAACTCAATGAAACAATGAGCCATGCCCTGTAGGGCCACCCAAGACAGACGGGACATGGTGGAGAGTTCTGACAAAATGTGGTCCAAGGGAGAAGGGAATGGGAAACCACTTCAGCATCCAGAACCTCATGGACAGGATGAGATGGTTGGATGGCATCACTGACTCGATGGACATGAGTTTGAGCAGACTCCAGGAAATAGTGAAGGACACGGAAGCCTGGCATGCTGCATGCAGTCCATGGGGTTGCCAAGAGTCAGACACGACTGAGAGTCTGAACAACATTAATATATTCATCTTGGAAGCAGTGTGATCGCTTTGTGCTGGTACCCATGCTAGATGCTAGGCGGCAACAAGCAACTTACTGAGGCCTGCTGCTGACCGTCTAGGAGAGCACCACATTCAGTTGACTCTAGGGCAGAAATGTCCCAAGGGCGTTAGACACACAGCTTCGCCCCCTTTCCCCCGTGTTGTCCAGCTCTGGACTGTGAGGCTGAGTTGTGGAAACATGAATCCAGGCTTGGGGTAGGACTGGACGAGTCAGGACGCTTGGTTCTAGCCCACCCACCTGCTGTGTACACGCAGCCGCATCCCTCCTCCCTCTGTGGGCCCAGAAAAGGAGAAGCTGGCTGGTTCCTACCCTCCTCTCTCTCATTGGAGAGCAGTGGTTCTCAATTCCATTAGAGTCAGCATCCCCTTTGCAATGTCCCCTCTATTCTGCAGTGCAGTTTCATAGATGATATGACCAGTCTACAGCCATCATTTAAACACCTCAAATGTAATTATAATAAAGAAGAAAATATTATGATAGGACACAATATCTCAGTATATAAGTGTTAGACAAGACTTGAAGAAGGCATAATGTAGGCAGATTGCTTGCACCTAATTGTAATAAGTTTGAATTTAAGAGAAATAGAAGACTTGGGCCACACTTCCAAAAAAACCAAATAAGCCCTCTCTCTATACAAAAAAATCAAAGAGCATTATGGAGTGAACACTAGAATAAAAACTGTTAGGTAGGTAAAAACAGACCAGAGGTCTTTGCATATATATATATATATATATATATATATATATATATATAAAGAAACATAGCAAAGCAAGTTAAAGATGACACAGTGAGAAAATGAGGAAATACAATGTGAGAGCAAACAGACTGAGTCTGAGGGAGTTTCCTGGAGGTCTGATGGTTAGGATTTGGCTCTTTCACTGCTGTGGCCATGTTCCCTGGTCAGGCAACTGAAATCCCGCAAGCCACACTGTGCAGTCAAAAACCCCCCAAAACCAAAAACCAAAAACTGGATTTGATGTGTGCTGTTAAAAATAGCTCCCTGTGTTACCATATGGGATGGGGTAGTGGAAAAATGTCACAGACACATAGATCTGGTGTTTTACTTTTCTTTTTCTAAGATTTTTTTTTTTTTGATGTGGACTATTTTTAGTCTTTATTGAATTTGTTACAATATGCTTCTTCTTCTTTTTTAAAAATATTTTTTGGCATTTTGGGTGCGGGGCATGTGGGATCTCAGCTCCCAACCAGGGATTAAACTCACACCCCCTGCATTGGAAGGTGAAGCCGTAACCACTGGATCACCAGGGAAGTCCCCACAGATCTGTGTTTTGAAACATAATAGTGTGTTCAGGCAAACTTCAGTCTGGGGGATCTTAAGAGGCCTTGGAGATCATATATTTCCGATGGGCAATATAGAATGGATTGGAAAGAGAAGTGGTGATACAAGTTGTTTAAAGCAATTGAATGTGCACCCTGAGAAAAACAGCAGGCAATTGCCCCAAACATTTCCATGTACAACTGTTACAGCATAGATGTTCATCTTTGGGCTGCAAAAACTTAAAAAATATGAAGGAGGCAATACTGTAATATGAAATAATTTCTAAAAACAGGTATTAAGGGGATCCAAGGAGACCTTGCATCTCAAGAATCTTTGCTTTAATATTTGGTTCTCTCAGAGCGTCTCTGTTAACTGTTTGCAATCAGCCTCTTTGCTTTTTCAGTAAGACTACTGCATTTGAACCAAATATACAATAGTTGCAGTGTTAGAATCCGTTGTGTAGACAAGGATTGGAGTAGATTATTCAATAATTCTGAGACAATGTCTTTTTTCCATTTAAGGGTCTTCTCCATAATAAGCATCTCTTAACTTACTGAGTTATTCAGAAAACTATTTTTTTTTTTTAGAAAACTAATTTTTTAAAAAATTAGAAGCATACAAAAACTTTTTAGAACTATTATGAGTTGTAATATGACTGACTTACACTGGTAGTGGATTTAGTCTATTTGTACATTTTAAAGTTATACAGGACAGAAGGCAATTAATTATTTTGGAAAACTCTCCTGTGCATTGGAGCCACTAAACTCCAGTAAGAGTTTTACCTCCTTAACACTGAGACAACTTAAGACCTCCTGAAATTTTTCAAAATCACCCTTAGGGGGCCATATAATTCCCATTGAAACTGGTAGGTAAAGAGCTCAGGCTATGAAATCAGAGTGCCCTGGGCTTCACTCTAGCTTCATAAAACCTTTAGATATTCTATTCACTCTTTTTGTGCCTCAGTTTCTTGGATAATAATCACATAAAGATAAGAATTAGTGAGTAAATGCATGTGAAGTGCATAGAACTGGGTATCTGGCTCATAGTAAATACTTAATGAGCCACTGTTATTACTATTCTCATATAGTTATAATAATTATACTGTTGTTAATATCACTATTATTAGTCTACTTTCTAGTGCTGCTATATGAAAGACTCGGATTTCAGTTGTGGTTCCAAACTGCTCCCACAGGAGTGAAAGTGAAAGTTGCTCAGTTGTGTCCAAATCTTTGCGACCCATGGACTGTATAGTCCATGGAATTCTCTAGGCCAGAATACTGGAGTAGGTAGCCATTCCTTCTCCAGGGGATCTTCCTAACCCAGGGATTGAACCCAGGTCTCCCTTATTGCAGGCAGATTCTTTACCGTCTGAGCCACTAGGAGTAGC